GAGTCACTGGCAGTAAGAAGTCTGGTGTGAGCGAAACAATCTGTGAAGATGACGGGATACCAATCACCAACGTCAATCGACGTTTAGGACAATGGGGAGTTTTTTGAGAAATTTCAACTGGTCTGCTGTCCAGGTGACATCGATCAGACTGTCCTGCCCTCCATGGCCTGTGACGACTGATCCACCAAATGGGGCGGAAGTTCGCAAGGAACTCCAACTATTGAAACGTTACAAATCACTGGGTCTAGATGACTTACCTCTGACCCTTTTTGAAGATGGTGGCGACCTTATGGTTAAGGAAATGACTGTATCGTTTGCAGAGGCCTGGCAATCCGATAGTGTTCCAACATCAAAGAATGAGTCGATAGTTGTTCACACCTTTAAAAGCGATTCACATCGTTTCTGCAACGGCTATCGGGGGATAAGTCTACTTCCGGTTGCGTCCAAGCTATTGGCTTCCGTCATACTTCGTAGGTTGTTCAGAACCCGAGAAAGATTGACTCGCGAGGAGCAGGCTGGTTTTCGTTCTGGTCGAGGATGTATTGATCATACTCGCACTCTCCGCCAAATGTCAGAACACCGTCATACTTATCACAGACCAAAAATCCTAGTGTTTCTTGACATCAGGGCTGCCTTCTATTCGTTGGATAGGACTGTTCTCTGGGATTGTCTATTGAATAAGGGTGTGCCTGAGAAGTTTATTAACATCCTGAAAGCATTAAACACGAACACCTCAGGCAGAGTGAGGGCATACAATCACCTCTCTCCATTGTTCCATTCAAGAAGTAGGGTTAGTCAGTGTTGCCCAATCTCACTATTCCTCTCCGACTTTGCCACCAATGTCTTAGAAACAGCTCTGATGGATGTAGGTTATGGTGATGTAGATCGGTTGCTTGGAGAAAGACTTATCGACCTTGAGTATGCGGATGATAGTCTTACTGTGTGATAATACCCAAGTCATGCAATCCACACTTAATCAGTTGGCGATCAGTGTCCGTAGGCATGGCATGCGTATTGCACCTTCCAAGTGCAAAGCACTTTTACAACACTGGCAGGACCCTGATCCTACACTCACACTAGTTAGTTAGCAGATAGAAATGGTCAAGAAATTCGTGTTTCTGGGTAGCTGCATAAGTGCTGGTGGTGGCGTGAGTGATGAGATCAATGCACGTATAATGAAAGCCAGAGCGGCTTATGCCAATCTGGGCCATCTTTGGCGCCTTCGTGATGTTAGTCTGGCTGTAAAAGGTCGGATCTACAACGCGACGGTGAGAGCAGTTTTGCTCTATGCTTGTAAAACCTGGTCTCTCCGAGTTGAGGATGTTAGACGACTCTGTGTTTGATCATCGTTGTCTCCGAAGGATTGCTGACATCCAGTGGCAATACCATGTTAGTAATGTAGAGGTTCAACACAGAGACGACAATTCAGTTGGTGTTACTATCTTGAGACATCGACTTCGGTCTCTTGGCCTACTGTAAATGTGATACCAAAGAACCCCATGTCGTGCACTATTTGCCGACACTGGGACTGTTTGCAAAAGGCAGAGGTGGTCAGTGTATGATACGGTACTAATGGTATAAAAGAAAACTGTACAAGACTGGCTTCTGTTGACTGTTCACTACTGTCTGGTGAGGATCTTAGAGCTGTTGCAGCACTGGCTAGAGACGCGATCAGACATGGCTCAGAATAGAAGCCAGTGGCAATCCTGCTGTAACTTTTTTTTACTTACTTCATAAAATGAACGTAACTCCTTTGACTGAAAGTATTCCTTCTGGTTGTACTTTCGCTAACTGAACTGTTTTTCTCATTACTATTTTACTCTCAAACACTACTTTCTGTTCGTTATTCTTGTTTTTTATTATACGCACTTTACATTTTCTATCTCATCACAACCTAATTGTTATTGTGTGGTGCATATATATTTCGTACCCCCTTATACTAATTTTTGTGTCAAAACAAATAAACATATTTATAACTATTTGACAGATCTAGTTTTTAACTAATAAACAGGAAGAAATTACATTATAAGGTTTTGCTCCCAAATGCCCTGGTACGGCTGAGGGTGGGGAGAGTCCGCTCTCCCTCTCGAAATGCTCTCACATGGCCATGCGTATATAGCCTCTACCAGGGAAGTCCTACTCACTGCCTTCTCGCACCACGGGTGTTGTTTACGAAAATGAGAGGACGAAAAGCGAATGTCCGGCGCTTTAACCGGACCCCAAATCAATGGTGCACATGGGCTCCAGTATCCTGAAGGAACAAATGGCGTATGAACCAATTGTTGGTCACCGGCTACCATGGGACTGCATCTCCTAACGATGCTCCACTGCCTTGTGGGTCAGACGTTCAGGTCAAAGGCTCGGGGCGTGGCTCCCTAAGAAAACCACCTGCTTCGGTCTGGGCACCCGGGCAGTATCACAGCCCTCACACAAATCAATTGAGATTCGTGTGGCGCATATGTACTTCGTGCCTCCCTGTACCTATACTTATGTGTTAAAATAAAAATAAAAATAATACATTATAAGACGTTCAGGAACTCGGGTAATTTTTCATCAAATACTCATCAAAAGTAATCATAGATAACGAACTAAGACTCGTTGCCCCCAAATGCCCTGGTACGGCCGAGAGTGGGGAGAGTCCGCTCTCCCTCTCGAAATGCTCTCACATGGCCATGCGTATATAGCCTCTACCAGGGAAGTCCTACTCACTGCCTTCTTGCACCACGGGTGTTGTTTACGAAAATGAGCGGACACCCGGGCAGTATCACAGCCCTCACACAAATCAATTGAGATTTGTGTGGCGCATATGTATTTGGTGCCTCCCTGTACCTATACTTATGTGTTAAAATAAAATAATAATAATAACTAAGACTCATTAAGAAAATGATTATCCAAAACGAGTATCTATCGATGTTTATTGACAAGAATATAAAACTAAAACTGTATACAGCACAAATAACCTTTGTAAAAAAGAAAACACTTTATATAAACTTAGATTCCAGCCAGTCAGTCAGTAACAACGTGGAACTTCGTACGTACGTACATCAGTTCGAGTTGCCATACCACTTAGATTCCAAGGATGATATGACTGCAGACATCCTGAAAAGTGCTTCCAAATCTCAATGAAACGTTCTTCGCAGCAACCTTGCGTATATTGTTCTCCAGCCGATAAATATACATATGCGCCACACAAATCACTGGATTTGTATGTGGGCTATGATACAGGTCGGGTGCCCAAACCAAAGCAGGTGGTTTTCTTAGGGGACAACACACGGGGCCTTCGACCTAAAGATCTAATCCACAAGGCAGTGGAGCAACGTCAGGAGATGCTGTCGCATGGTAGCCGGTGACCAATAATTGGTTCATACGTCATTTGTTCCCTCAGGATACTGGAGCCCATGTGCACCATTGGTTTGGAATCAGGGTTTTCCAACTCCCCCAGATGGATCCTCAATATCCACCAACCCGGTTAAAGCGCCGAACACTCGCTTTTTGTCCTCACAATTTCATAAACAACACCGCAAGAAGGCAGGACTTCCCTGACATGATCAAATAATAGTAACCTATAAATGACTACATATAACGACCCTGATTCATAGTAATAAAAACAGAGGACTACTATACAGTGTACTCAGAACCTCTTTGGCAAACATCTTGTCCATATCACAGGTGACGCAAGCTGCTAAAAGCTATGCAAGCTTTCTGTATTAGTCTGAAGTTTTCGTAGACACCAAATCGAGAAAACTGATGAAACTGTTAGCGTAAAATGAACATGAGAGACTTCATTGCTTATCATCAGTCTAGATAATGATGCAGACCAGTCTTGCAGCAACATTACGCATAAAGAGGAAAACATCCGAAAAATGTTTGATTTTTTGCGATCAGAAGACTATGTTTATCAGAGCTCTCATAATCGACAACTGAACTGAGCCATGTTAATACGTGTAAACTAACTGGTTGGGGCTCGCATGATTATAGTAACCAATCGTTAGAGATTTTGAATGACATGTCTCAATACTGTTTTCAATGGCACAAGTGCATCCACTCATCTTCCTCAAATTCTGCACTCAATTCCCCACAACTTTTTTTGGTTTTATTTTAATTTCTTTTTTTGGATTGTATCTTTGATGCCTAATCTTCAATCATCACTCATACTGTTAGTTCCTCTACTATTCTCGAGTTTGACCTAAAAAAATGGGTATGATAACTTGTGCTGAAGTACATACGTACCACGTCGCGTTGCGAAAGATCAATTGAGCCTCCAATATACATATTTATGTTATCTGCGTCTATAGGTGAATCTCTTAGTAGGACGTCAATCTCTGAAGGAAATGTAATCCTCCAAATAATGTAAATGACGAAGTCAAAGACGGGCAAAGTAGACAAGTGACGAATAATATATATGATGTTGAGAGTATTGGTCACTTCAACTTTCCATCCACATATATGCATCGATTGAAGTTAGTACACCACTTGAGTAACATGTCATCGTACAGTAAAGCAATATAGTCCACGTTGGTTGAGGTGTCTGAGGCGAGACTATAATTTATGGACGAACAAATCAGATATAAGATAACAAGTCACGAAATTGAGTGCGAAATTTATCCATACATTTGGCTAAACAGAGTTTTGGCATTATACAGCTGTCAGTTAGTGACGAAAACCCTAAATCTAATTTTTAACCATGACCACCAACTGTAAATAAGAGTTCTAACTGCTTTATAACCCTCATTTAGTCCTAATTTCCAGTTGTTTACTCTCAAGGCCACTCTAGCCTCACCGAAAAGTCGTCCATAAATTATAGTCTCACTCTTTCTGAAGATAGTGTATACGTATGTCTGCTACCTCCAAAACTTAAGATCCCATCAATGCTAAGATACATTGAGAATAAAGAATTCTATCTGGACCGTTCTAAAGAGGACAAAACAAACGGGATCCATCCATTATCAAATTTGAAATATCATAACTATGTGAATGGAACTGAATACAGTGTAACTTACTTCCCAGATTATGTTGACTGGCTAATTATCTTTATGAAGAAATCTCACATTACTGAGTGTAGCGGTTTCCATCTGGTCTGAAGAAACGTTGAGTACTGGGAAAGTGTGAGAAATCTACTTAAGTAAGGGTAAGAGAAACATGGGGAAAAGTGAGCCGAAGACTGAGAAAGCTCTTAAAATTTACTTGCATTTATCAGTCAGAACGATCGAAAACAAATAGCACTGACAAGCAGAAAACTGAAACAATCTGATCCCAGAAACCATAAGCTGATAAATAAGGTCTGGAATACGTTACGTTATGCAGTTTTCTGTCCAAATCCACCGCGACATACACAAGGTCGACAATGAGTGTGTTTGAGGTGAAGTAGCACAAATCATAAGCCTTCTTTGTAGTCACATCCTGATAGTAGGGAATTATTTTTCATGATAATAAAACACAAGAATCTACAAATGATAACTCAGCAGTAACAAGAGACAATAGTCATTTGTAAGGACCACACTACTGTATAGCCAGTGAAATTTCACTGAGCCCAAGCCAAATCATCCGGCAGTAAGGTCATTGGATATCAAGTAGTTCATCGATCCTCGTTAAGGTTAAGGACAACCGACGCGTATCAGTTAACTGAACGCCATGGGCTGGCCTTATTTTCGCTTGTACTACATTAACTAATATATTTCTGTAATAACGTCCTCTGTGTTGCACAGTTTTCAAAGCATCTATGGTACCTTGGTGCGTCAACGGGGTAGATTATGTAAGGTGCTGACCACGAGGTGTGATTACGATGCTAGCTGGTTCGTCACACCATTCCGTCTAACTCAAGTAGGCCCCCAATTATTCAACATAGACCATCTACTCTGTTGATTTACACCACATATTCCGCAAAAATCAAACGAGATGAATTAATTTCAAAGTTTGTCCGTGCAATTCTACAAAAATCATCGCTGAGTTTTTTTGCCGTTTCATAAAAATACTACATGTTCAACATGAAGATAGTGAATCTCTATCCTTTGTTTTCATACAGTTAGTTTACTGTATAAACGATACCAAACTAATTGCAACTAACTGTATATATTTCTTCATTCTAGCTGACACTTCAATATTTCAGGTGTTGATTTATACACTATCTGGTTTTATTACTACAAAACCATGAACGTTATGTGCTGCTTAAACTCATAAATCTCCTGGCCTAGCAGGGGTCCTACCCACACTAGCGAAAGAATGTGTAGTGACCTACTTTTGTCAACAGAACGCTAACCTACATCTACGAACACTTGGCAATCGCAACCAAACCTTCCAAAGAAGTCAATTTTGGTGAGTCTATCGCTTGTCTATCCACGTCTGTCGCATATTTTCATAGTAATATTTTGCAATATATAACATATTGACCATAACTCGACATGACGGATAACGATAAGAATAGTATTAATGTAATAAATTATGACGTACAGGTTATACACTTTCGACCTGTATCTTTTATTCCCCACGACCCCAAAGTTTGGTTTGTCGCAATAGAGTCTCAATTCGAGACCCGTCATATTACGAGCCAAAGACAGAAATACGCCTACGCTCTCGAATTTTTACCGGGGGACCATTTAGTAGCTGTCCGTGAGGTAGTCCTAAACTCCAACGTGCCCAACGCTTAAGATCGTCTCAAGGAGGCGATCCTCAGATATTTCCTCCCATCGAGGGAGGAACGATTAAGGACGTTATAAGCACGTCACTCCCTGAGTGATGCTAAACCGAGCCACCACTTCACGCGCCTGCAACCTCTTGCAGGACCCACGTCAGCCGACTCTGAGATTGTTAAAGAACTGTGGCTCGAATCATTACCAGCATTCATCCCACCTACAGTTACGGCTCTGCTCGAGGACGCACCACTGAACCAGGTAGCCCTCACAGCAGACAAAATTCTAGCTAGGACTGGCAACCGATACAACTACGTAGTTGCCTCAACGTCGCGTCCGAATGTCGATATCGACGTCAGTCACTCCTCGGCTCAAGGTGACAGAGGCGAGCGTATCCACACACGTCTTAGTTTTCGAGACCGTCGTAACGTAACCCAACCGTACGTCTCTAGAGCCCGCTCACGCTCTCAAAAAGCCGTTAACACTCACCCAACGAAAGCATCTTCCAAGCCACGCTGAAAGGCGGCTTCGGAAGCGAGTTAAGGTTGGTGCTGGTTCCAACGATCCTTCGGATCTGGTGCCCGCCGTTGTGGAGCCTTGTGCGGGAAACGCCAAAGTCGGCGAGTAAAAGTGGCCGTACTCACTGGCCCTGCCCCCCAGGTTGGCCGCTTATTTTACGTGCGCGGTTATCTCGCAAACGCTAGGTACCTAGTGGATACTGGTGCCAAAGTTTCTGTCGTACCACTTGGTAGAAGCAAGTCACAAGCTACGGCGCTTCCACTACGCGCTGCGAATGGCTCAGCTATTCCTATATACGATACACGATAACTCGCGGTCAACCTGGTCAACCGACGATGGTATCTGTGGACGTTCATCATTGCCGATGTTCGCACATCCATACTCGGTATTGATTTCCTACAGCACTACGAATTTCTAGCTTTTGCTAAACGTGAGTTTGACAATTTACTATCTACTGGTATTACTCGTCCTTCTCACAGTCCCTGGGCCTCTCCTCTTCGCATGGTGCGCAAAAATGGATGGAATTAGTTGGAGACCATGCGGCGACTACCGAGCATTAAACGTAGTTACGCGCTTTGATAGCTACCCCATCCCTCACATACGCGACATCACGGCATCACTCAAGGGCACGATAATATTTTCTAAGATCGATCTGGTACGAGCACTTCACCAGATCCCAGTCGCTCTTGTAGATATCAAAAAACTGCTATGATGACTCCTTTCGGTCTGTTTGAGTTCCTACGAATGCCATTTGGATTACGAAATGCTGCTCAAACGTTCCAATGTTTGTCGATAGCATAGTACGAGACTGGGATTTTGTTCACGTTTATATCGATGACCTAGTAATCGTATCATCAAACGTAGATGAACATTATCAACACCTTACGCTATTATTACAACGCCTTTCGGATAATGAAATAGTAGTCAACCCAGACAAATGTGAATTGGGTAAGCCAGAAATAATATTTTTGGGTCACATCATCAGGCAAGAGAGTATTCTGCCTTGCGAGGACAAAGTTCGAGCAATCAAGGAGTACAACGTGCCTTCCTCACTCAGGGAACTGAAGGCTTTTCTCGGTTTGGTTAACTTCTACCGACGCTTTATCCCGCATGTGGCAGAACGGTTAGGACCATTAACTGATTTCCTACGCGGTAATCCACGCGAATTAGAATTGAACGATACCGCACATATTGCATTTTCAGAGATCAAAACGGCTCTCGCTCAAGTTGCTGTCTTTGTTCAACCTGACCCATCAGTCACGCTTAGTATAGCGGTTGATGCACCGGATTTTGCCATAGGAGCCGTAATGCAGCAGAATATCTCCGGTAGTTGGCAACCACTCGAATTTTTCTCACGATGCCTTACTCCCACGGAGACAAGATATAGAGCTTTTGGTCGAGAGCCGCTAGCAGCCTACTGTGCCATCAAACATTTCCGGCACGCGGTAGAAGGTCGTAATTTCATCTTATTCACCGACCATAAGCCCTTAACGTATGCCCTGCATACCAAGTCTGACCGCTACTCACCACGAGAATGCAGACATCTGGACTGTACCTCCCAGTTCACGACAGACCTTCGTCACATTAAAGGCGAGTCGAACTATGTTGCCGATGCTCTATCACGTATCCAGACGAATGCAGTTACCTTACCGGTGCTCGATCTTCCTGCTATGGCCGCCGCTCAAGCAAACGATCCTTTCTGCACAGAAGCACCACAATCTTCGTTCTTTCAGTGCCAGGAAGTATCCCTGGCTACTAGCTCAGTTACTATCCTATGTGATACTTCTGCCGGTCTTCCTCGACCCATCGTAGCCTCTGATTACCGTTGTCTCGTCTTCGATGTCCTACATGGATTGTTTCATCCAGGCATCGCAGCCACATTACGCCTCATCGCTGCACGATACGTCTGGCCATCCATGAATAAAGATGTTCGTATGTGGGTAAAGCAATGCTTACAGTGTCAACGATCAAAAGTGCACAGGCATGTAGCTGCCCCCATTGGCACGTTTGCTACGCCTGATGCTCGCTTTGATCACGCTCATATAGACATTGTAGGACCATCGTCACCATCGCATGGGTATGATCACATACTCACGCGCATTGACCGTTTTACAAGATGGCCCGAAGCTATTCCCATCACGTCTATTACGGCGGAGACAGTTGCACACCGCTTCGTAGAACGATGGATAGCATTGTATGGTTGTCCCTCGACTGTCACGACTGACCGAGGACAACAATTTGAGTCCGCATTATTCTCCTCACTGACCCGGCTGCTTGGTACAAAACGCATACGCACTACCGCCTACCACCCAGCATCGAATGGTTTAGTTGAAAGGTTACATCGACAACTTAAAAGTGCTCTTCGAGCACACGAAAACGACAATTGGTACGAAACCTTACCGCTCGTTCTCTTAGGTATCAGAACGAGTTTGAAGGCAGATATCCAATGTTCCGCCGCTATACTTGTATACGGCACGACATTGCGTCTGCCTGGAGAATTCTTCACACCATGGAGCATTAACGATTTCGGTAAATCAGACTACGTCCATCGACAGTCTGCATTTATGCGAACACTGTCTCCGGTGTCAACTCGAATACAACATCGACAGGTCGCTCTCCCTCGAGAGTTATCTACCTGTTCACATGTTTTTATACGAGTAGATTCGGTACGCAAACCTTTGCAACAGCCTTACGAAGGACCTTTTCACGTGATCTCTCGTCACGAAAAGACCTTCAAGGTTGATTGACATGGCCGCGTCGAGATCGTCAGCATTGATCGTCTCAAACCAGCACACGTCGATGACAGTGCCCCACTCGATAACTGGAGACTCAATGCTAGACCCATCAAACCTACTAGCGGGATCTCTACATCTATCTCGGATCCCACGCTAGATACATCAGAGACCTCGTTCTCACCTCCCGGTCAACAGCACGCGTCATCTGGACAATCTACGGACGAGACTTCGGTCCCACGTCCAGATCAGCAGACCACGCCGCCCTTGACCTCGGATGCGATCGCAGGCTCACGAAGTACGAACGAGACTACCCTCTCACGTTCCGGTCGCCGAGTACGCTTACCCGTACGCTTTCGCGACTAACCGCACAGTCGACATTGGATACGGTGTAGGATTATTCCTATACTACGCGCATGCTACACTTTTCTTTTTTTGATTTTTTTGTATCCTGAGCCCACGCCTACGATCATCG